TCATAGATTTCAAGACATGAAAGTGATTTGGGAAGGCCCTCCTTTGGTAAGCATTGGAGGTTGGGGCAAGCGTAAAGGGTCAGTGTTTCGAGAGATGATGAGAGTTGATAGAGGCCCTTGTAGTCCAGTTTTATTAGATTTGGACTCTTAGTAATCATTAGAGAAGTAAGAGAAAAAGGAAGCAAACCTTCATCAGGAAAACACTCTGCATCCACATTTTCAATCCACAAGTTTTTCAGAGAAGGATTGTCTCCCAAAGCTCCTTTCAATGAGCCAATAAGTCTGAAGCAACTCTTGAGGCTCATTTCATTTAGATTTGGTGGCAAACCTCCATCAGGGAAGGACTCAAGTCTTGGACAATCTTTTATGCTAAGCATTGTGAGAGATGGAAGCAGCATATGCATGTTTGCAGGCAATGATTCAAATTTAGGGCAGTCTCTGATTTTCAGATATTGGAGATGATTATGAACTTGATCCTGTGAAATCATCTGCAAATTAGTAAAGCCTTTGAGACTAAGCATCGTGAGTGTCGGGAAGAAATGTAATGGAAAGGTCCATAGAGAGACAGACTCATCACTGATTTGGCAATCGCTACACAAAGCAAATGAGCAAGAAACAATGTGCCCAGCCATTTCCACGAACCATGCTTCCATGTTGTGTCCGCCGATGCTAAGCTCTTTCAAAGTTGCCCCGTTAATTTGCAGCTTTCCATAGTCTTGTATTCGTAATTCTACAGCCCTGGGAGCGGAAGCCTCAAGTTGTTGGCAGTCTGTAATTTCTAGTATTTCCAAAGGAACAAGTTGCTCTGGGAGCTCTCCTTTCAGCTTGGGACAATCATTTATATAAAGTCTTTGAAGATTTGGGAAAACACCTGCCACAACTTGGCATTCCCATTTTTCCCATTGTTTCATAGAGGAGAACGACAATGTTTCAAGGGATTTAAATGAAGAAGAATTGTTCCCATGAAAATCAGCATCAATACTCACTATCCCATCAAGTCTTGCAATCCTCAAGTCCTTGAGAAATGGCAAAAGTCCAAGGGGAGGTAAACGTTGACAAGATTCACATTCCTCCAACACTAAGGACATCATATTCCATAATGAATTTTCTAGTAACCAATTTGGAAATTGTTTTCCACCATAGCTAAAGATTGACAACTCCTTTAAGTTTTTGGAAGGTTGCATATTCTCGATTACATCCTCTTCCTTTTTGGAATCAATATTCCTCCTCGAGTCCCATCGCAACTTTAGCTTCACAAGGCATGTTTTATTCTTCAAATCTGCTTCTAATGCATCTATAGAATTCTCAATATTCTGTAGCTCCTCAATTGATAGACTTCCATCAAGGTTGAGCTCTCCTAGCCGGTGAATACCGAACTCCTTGCTATGGCCAACAATAAAGGGACTCATCATTACTTTTAGATTCTTCAGTTTTCTCAAATGCAGTGGCACCTTTCTCACTTTAGTCTTCATAAATTCAAGTCGACACAAATTTGTGAGTAAATGCAAATCTGAGGGTAACTCCTCCAAATCACGACAATAGTTCAACTTCAGTATTTGCAAGTGGGTGAGTGAACATATCTTTTCAGTTAGTTTTTTTATTGCCGTAAAGGAGAGGTCTAATGAACGAAGATGCTCAAGATTGCCAACAGAGTCAGGTAGTTCTTCAAGGGCATAACAATTAAACAGAGATAAGATTCGTAAAAATTTAAACTTGGAGAGCAATTCATGTATTGACATATTCATACGAAACACATGTTCACCCATTTGCGTAAATGTACGTAACCTTTCTGTATTACATAACTTTCCAAACCCATCAAAATATTGTCTGTATCCAAGTTCAATTGAAAAATGACGAGTTACTTTTTGTATCTTCTCTCTTTGATCAAATTCCCACATGAAGTATATGCCTCCACCAACATATTTTGCCAAATCATTAAGAAGGTCGTGCATAACAAATACTTCCTCGTCTTCAACTGATTGTTGGAAGAAGGACCTTGATAATAGATCATTGAAATATTGTTGGCCAACTTCTTCTGGAGTTCTGCTGTGTTGACAATTAAACAAATTTTCAGTCATCCACAGCTGAATCAAACACTCCTTCTCAAACTTATAATCCTTGGGGAATAGGGCACAGTATGCAAAGCATACCTTAAGATGGGAAGGAAGGTGAATATAGCTCAATGCTAAAGCAGGAATAATATCACAACGCTCCTTCGAAAGTTCCCATATTTCGCTTCGGAACACAGTGTTCCATTCTGAAACAGATGATTTGTTGTATAATAGGCAAGAGGTAGTCCTTTACATTTTTGTACTATTTTCATGCCAATTTCCCTGCACTCTGGATTTAGTTTAGTATCATCATCTTGGAATGCATGTTTAGCAAACAACTTCCAGCAATGATCTTCATGTAATTGCTTTAGGGAGTGAACTTCTGACCGCATGGTAGAAGCAACTTCCTTACTACGTGTGGTGACAAGAATCCTACTC